CTTCTTTTATGTTCTACAAAAGATCAAGGATATATGGACGTCACCACAAAAGTTTTTAATGGTGATTTGGCTTTGCTAGCTTACAACATGGATTTTGACACATCTATGATTTTGAAAAGACTTGTCAGTTTATGATTTGCTAGAGATAGTGTCTGTTCTAAAAGAAACATAAAGAATTTTAAGGAATTGTGGGATGAAACACATGGCAACATTACGTATGGCATGTAACTTGGTGAAGCTGGTATAAATATTTCTTGGAGTTAGAGTTCAGTTTGGAACTGAGTCTAACTATATTGCTCACCATTCGATCGATCTTCAAATCTTTCTGGGTTATCCTCCTGAAGACCCTTAACAAATTTCATTTTCAAGAATATAAGCATAATGTTCTGACAGTAATTGCAGTAAAACAAGTTTTTGGTGCATTCTGAACATCAATCATTTTGCATGTTGTCTTGTTGTCTAATTCTTATGAAGTTTCTTACATAAAAACAAGATAACATGCCAAAAAGAATGATGTTCAGAATGCACCAAAAAGCTGTTTTGATGCAATTACTGCAGACAACATTATGTTTATATTCTTTAGAATGAAATTTTTTAAGGGTCTTCAGGAGGATAATGTAGAAACATTTGAAGATCAGATGGTGAGCAGTATAGTTAGAATCAATTCTAAAATGAACTCTAACTCAAAGAAATATTTATACCAGCTTCACCAAGTTACAAGCCAAAGGTATTGCTGCCTAGTGTTTCGTCCTGCAATTCCGTATATATCCTTCTATATTTCTTTTTGAACAAACACCATCTCTAGCAAAGTATAACATGTCACGGTTTCAAGACCATCAAACAATAGACTCGTAGAGGTGTCAAAATCCTTGTAAGCCAGCAAAATCAAAGCACCATTAACAACATTTGTGGTGATGTTCATATATCCTTGTTCATCAGTACGTGTATAACAGAAAAGAAGTAGTCATCTGCAGCAAAGTGCACAAATGTAATAACAAGCAAATTTCAAATCAATAGTCCAACTAATTAAAAATATCAATGGAACAATATAGCATAATGCAAACCAAGTTGAAAATAATCTCATAGAAAAATCTTTATATATAAGCAAATCTAAAAAAGTTAATCGTAACATTTCTAACAACCAAACAATGAATCAAAGTCTAGAAAGGATATTCTAGAGTCGCTGACCGAGAAAAAACAAAGTAATAGATAAACAAAAATATTATAGCAAAACCAATGACACTCTAAATAAATAAATAAATAGAAACTCATTTTCAGTTAATGATGAACAATGAATTTTATACACTTAATATATATTAAATATGAAAGAGATCATATTCTATAATGATGAATCTGCAATCCCACATAAAATCTAGCTTTAAAAAAAAATCTTATATATAATCAAATAATAAATAAAAGGCAAAAATTGAAACAACAAAGGAATCAATATCTGGAAAGGTATGTATTTCCAAAGTGGCTCACCAAGAGAAATAAACTACTCGATTAACATAAACATTATAGCAAAATCATATCGATCTTTATAAAAACACTCATTTTGACAAACGAACAAAAAATCTCAGGCATTTCCTCAGAAAGTCTAGTTGTAATATATCTTACATATACTCATATCGATTAGATAAATGTTTGATGATATTTTATTCAGCACAAGAACAGGAAAACAATATAAAGGGAAATAACAACTAACGTGAGAGACTCCTATCTAAGAGGGATGACTAAGGACTTATTCTCCTGTTACAATATTGACTAAACATATATAACAAGACTAACAAATAATATATGACTAACACTCCCCCTCAAGCACAAGGTCGGTGAGTCACCACATTGAGCTTGTCACGTAGAGCAGCAAAACGTGGACCAGCCAAGGGTTTGGTGAAGATATCTGCAATCTGATCCTTTGTTGAGACGAAATTAACAACTAAGTCCCCTGAGGCAACTTTGTCTCGTACAAAATGGAAATCAATTTCCACGTGTTTGGTTCGGGCGTGGAACACGGGATTAGCACAGAGATAGGTGGCCCCTAGATTATCACACCACAGAGTAGTCGGCTCGCCAGTATGTAGACCCAACTCGCGAAGCAATGAAACAATCCAAGTGACCTCAGCGGATACATCTGCTAGAGCCTTGTATTCAGCCTCAGTGGAGGAGCGTGCTACAGTGCGCTGTTTCCGAGATAACCAGGAGACGAGATTAGTCCCCAAGAATACAGCATAGCCACTCGTGCTCTTCCTATCTAACGGACAGCCGGCCCAATCGGAGTCAGTGAAGGCATGAATAGCCGAGGAGGCAGAGACTGTAATACGTAAACCATACTCAAGAGTACCCTTGACATACCGAACAACACGTTTCAAGAGACCCCAGTGATCAACAGATGGTGAGTGCATGAACTGACAGAGTCGATTGACAGCATAAGAGAGGTCTGGTCTAGTAATGGTGAGATATTGCAGGGCACCTACAATGCGCCTATATTGCGTCGGATTATCATGAAGCTGGTCCGACGGTGTAACAGACTGTGTAATAGCAGCCGGGGTTGCTAAAGGTTTGCAGTCAGACATACCAACCCGGTTTAGAATATCCTTCATGTAGCGCCACTGGGATAGCATGATTCCCCCTTCAACTTGTAACATTTCAATCCCAAGAAAGAACCCTGGGGTGCCTAGATCCCGAATTTTGAATGCAGTAGATAACCGGTGCAACAAAGTAGTAATAAGAGGTGGATCATTCCCCATCATGATTATATCGACAACATACACAAGTAGATATATTCTGGATGTTCCGGTAGAGTAATGAAAAAGAGAAACGTCGATTTTAGATGCCACAAAAACTGCAGATATCAAGAAATCGTGTAGCCTTTTGAACCAGGCCCGTGGGGCCTGTTTAAGACCATATAAGGACCGCTGTAAATGGCATACATGATCAGGATGAACTGGATCCTCATAGCCAGGCGGTTGCTTCATGTATACTGTTTCAGCTAGATGCCCATTCAGAAATGCATTATGAACGTCTAACTGCCACATGGTCCAGCTATGGGACACTGCTAGGGAGAAGAGTAGCCGGACTGTAGTCGGTTTGACTACAGGGCTAAATGTGTCAAAGAAATCTTCCCCAGCAACCTGGTTGAACCCCTTCGCAACGAGGCGTGCTTTATAACGCTCAATAGAGCCATCAGCCTGTCGTTTTGTACGGAACACCCACTTACAACCAATCACATTCATGTGTGGTTTAGCAGGCACCAAAACCCATGTGCTATTATGTAGGAGTGCATTGAACTCCTGATCCATGGCTTCACGCCATTCTGGGTGCCCAACTGCCTGTGAGTAGCAGGTTAGATCTGTACCTGCACTAAGAGCTTGAAATTGCTCATTCGTGCCTCGTGTCATGCGTCGTAGCCTCATAGCATGATCCCGTACCTGTGGTGCTGTTCGAGTGGCACGTTTCCGTGCGACCCGTTTTGGCCCCTCCAAAGCCAAAGGTGGTGTGTCCCGAGCCAAGGGCATCGGACTCCCTGATGGTATGGGGTCCGAGGGTGGAATAGTGGATGCCACAATTGGCTCAACATGTGAACATTCGGTTAAAACCGGGCTGGTGGCCCATGGTAGATTGAGAGGCACTTGTGTTGTAGTTGATTGACCTCCTGTGTCTGAAAAGGGGTAATTAGTTTCATCAAAACGTACGTGACGACATATGTAGATTTTTCCATTAGTTAGATTCATGCATCTGTACCCCCTAAAGGATGACGGGTAACCTAAGAAGACACAGGGTGCCGACTGGAACTCGATCTTGTGGCGATTATAAGGGCTGAGATACGGGTAACAGCGACACCCGAAGACACGTAGAAAAGTGTATGGGGGTGAGTGTTTATGGAGACGACTGTATGGGCTTTCATACTGTAATGTAGGTGTTGGTAAATAGTTGATTAGACACGTAGCCGTTTCGAAAGCATAGTCCCAATATTGAAGCGGGACAGAGCCTTCGGCTAGTAGTGCCAATCCGTTTTCAACTATATGCCTATTTTTGTGTTCAACGCGCCCGTTTTGTTCATGTGTGTAGGCACAGGATTGGCGGTGAATAATTCCAAGTTTGCTAAAAGTATGGTGCAGCTTGCGATATTCACCGCCGAGATCGGACTGGACGGACTTGATAGAACGCGAAAATTGGCGTTCTACCATGACACGGAACAACTCAAAACATTTATATATATCAGATTTCACCCGTAAGGGGTAAAACCAGCAGAAGCGCGAGTAATCATCTACAAATAGCAGAAAATACCTATAACCACTACTAGAGATTACAGGAGACGGGCCCCATATATCGGTATAAATTAAATCCAATACATTTTGACTAGAATGAAAGACCCTATCTATTGGAAATCTGGACGATTTGCCTAGCTGACAAGGCGTACACGACCCCGCTTTATTGGTTTTGTTTGGCGCAACTGGACAAGACTGCAGAATTTTATTTTGGACTTGTGCATGCGGGTGGCCCAATCTACGGTGCCAAACCACAGGAGTTGCCCGGGAAGTCAAAAATGCAAATGGAGACTGCGGAACAGAAAGCTTGTAAAGACCACCGGATGTTGGACCTTTAAGCAGAACCTCCCGAGTTATGGAATCCTTCACAACAAAGTAATTTTTATGAAACTCAAAAAATACGTTATTGTCGTTAGTGAAGCGATTAACGGACAATAAAGGCACAGATAAATCCGGGACACATAAAACATTAGACAAACGCAACATTTGTGACTTAGACGGGATCGATGCATGACCAACGTGAGAAATATCCAAACCTGCGCCGTTACCAACGCGAAGCACATCCCCGCCGGTGTACTCATCCGCCTAAGACATCATGGACACGTCGGGAGTTGCATGTGCCGACGCGCCTGTATCCCGAAACCATCCCGAAGCCGACGAGGGAGGCGCTGATTCATCCACAGCAGTCACCATATTGGCTTGGGCAGGAGGCTGTGTATTATATCTCTTAAATCAGTAAACTGCAGTATGGCCCTGGGCTTTACAAATCTGACACCGAGGAGCGTTGTTCCGTCCTCCCCGGCCTCTGTCCTGGCCTCCTCTACCGCCACGGCCGCGGTTCTGGCCTTGTCTGCCACCATCGTTGCTGCCTCGTCCACCATTGCTCCGGCCTCCACGACCGACATACAAGGCAGAAGGGGCCGCCGGGTAACCGCCGTCTGATCCGGTCGGGTAGTCATCGGCGTGTATGAAATCTTGGGCTTGCAGATAGTCGGATATTTGTGGAATCGTCACCGGAATCCCTGCTGCCGTGAGTGATGACGCCATGGCGCGATACTCCGGTCGGAGACTGCGGAAGACGAACAGGTTCTGTTCGTCAAGGGAGACGGGCCTGCCGGCGAGCGCAAGCTGTTCCACTAGCAGCTGCGCACGTCCGAGATACTCCACCGCACTGCCACTCCCTTGCTGGAGAGAATGGAACTGCCCGAGGAGGCTGAGACACCTGGCACGAGTGGTGTTGCCTAACGCCGCCATGATTGACTCCCACACCTCTCTGGATGTGGCCTTGCCGACGGCGAGGTGCATCACTTCATCCGAGAGGGATGAAATGATCAGAGATAAGATCAGTTGATCTTGCTTAATCCACGCTTTGTATGCGGGATTGGGAATCGGACCAGTGGTGGTAGCTGCGGAATTTGAACCGCCGGAAGCAGGTGGTGATTCGACCGTGGGCGGTGGACACGGCGTATCCCCATCGACGAACCCCAACAGCTCTTGGCCGCGAAGAAAAGGGATTATTTGAGTTCTCCAGAAGAGAAAGTTACGGTGGGTGAGTTTGATAGACACATGGTGGTTCGCACCGGCGAGGGGATTGGAGGCAGTCGCCGGTGGGTTTGATGCGCCGGCAGTGACTGTTCTTTCAGAGGAGTTCGTGGACATGGTGGGGGATTGAGTGATTGCCGGCGATAAAGATCGACAAAGGGGGTGAGAGAGAGAGAGAACCCGGTCTATCTGATACCAGATTAGATAAATGTTTGATGATATTTTATTCAGCACAAGAACAGGAAAACAATATAAAGGGAAATAACAACTAATGTGAGAGACTCCTATCTAAGAGGGATGACTAAGGACTTATTCTCCTGTTACAATATTGACTAAACATATATAACAAGACTAATAAATAATATATGACTAACAATATCTGACAAAACTACAAGTAAAAATTCAAAACATATAGATATATAATTAATTAAAGTCTAGAAAAGTAATTTTAAATTGGCTCACCAAGAGAAACAAAGTAAAAAATCAACAAATATATTATAACAAAATCAAATTGATCTTTAAAACGCACTCTCATTTCGATGGACTGATGAACAATGAAATCTAAAAAATATAATTCCTCAAAAAAATATTTGACATATATACTAATATACATTGGACATGAAAGAGATGAAACATAAGACCTAATTCTATGCAATTCACAAAATAAAAGAGAGAGAGAGAAAGAGAGAGAGAGAGAGAGAGAGAGAGAAAATAACTACCATGCCTTGGTGTTTATGTGAAAGTGTGGAACTGAAAATAAATAGATCTCAAAACCAAACCCCAAGAATGAAGCAACAAGCAAATTTATGACTATTAGTATGGCTAAAAAGATCAAGACAGCACATAGAGAATAATAAACCACAGGACGAAAAAAAAATCTCACTGAAAAATCTTATATATAATCAAAACTTTAAAAAAAAAATGAAACTGAGAACAAATTACTATAACGGTATTCTTGAATGATGTCACGCCTTACGTGACATTTTCCTATATGGAAAATCTCAACAATTAAATTTGTTTTCATTGGAGAAATATTACCATCCATAAATTTATGAAAACATTATAAAATATTTAAAATGATTTCTCTAATTTTAGAAAATTTTAAAATACCTTTTCTAATAATAAGAATTTGATAAAAAAAAATTAATTTTTATGCATAAACGAAGAAAAAATATTTATAAATATACTTATATTTTTTATATTTGTACTTTCCCACGTGTTTCGTATCCTAGGATTATTGTCCTCCTTTCCCGTTTCCATGAAACTTGGACTAGCATTCCTCAATTGCTTTGACCCTATGTGTATTTGGTACAGAAGTCATGACTTTAAAGCACATAATTTCATAACATAAAACGCATAAACTCATGAAATAATACACATAAACATGTTGGGTGTGTTGCACATAAATTCATAATACAAGACACTTAAAAACCATAATACGAGACACATAAATTCATAATACAAGACACTTACAACACTGACTCTGTTATAATATCCTATCTGTTCATAAATACTTTCACAACCTACTAAAGCATAAATAGTCAATATTGCCCCCACTGAGTCTCAAACACATGACATCCCAATTGGGAGACCCACTTGGTGCCACTAAACCACAAGATCATTGGTCTTAAATGACCCAACAAAAATCAAAGGAACCTACGATTGGAACTGACTACGAAAGAGATGTGCCACCACAACTCCCATGTAAATATGGACTTGTTTGATGATCCATATAGACAAAGATAATCCATAGTAGACACCTTTGCTTCCTCACTCCCTTCTACAAAAGGAGCATGAAAGAACATATTGGAGCAATTTATGCTCCTCCTTTCTGGGACCCAGGTCTAATGGAGATTGCAAGTGCACTTGGGACATTGGTCTAAAGGAGATTGCTAGTGCACTTGGGACATTTTAAAAGCCATTGCACCTTTAATTTATGTATCTATCGGCTTTGTGGGTCGCTATTACCTTCAGAAAGGAGTAGCATAAATTGATCCAATATATTCTGTCCCCATTTGTGGTAGGGAGTGAGGAAGCAAAGTGTCTACTATGGATTATCTTTGTCTATATGGGATCATCAAACAAGTCCCAATTCACATGGGAGTTGCGGTAGCGCATCTCTTCCGTAGTCATTTCCAACCGCAGGTTCCTTCGATTTTTGTTGGGTCCTTTAAGACCAATGACCTTGTGGTCTTGTGGCATCAAGTGGGTATCCCAATTGGGAGGTAATGGGTTTGAGCCTGTGTGAGGTCTCTCAACTTGGGTTTTTATTGTGCTCTATTATCGCTTTGATACTTTTTAGTTGGACTACTAATTTTAACTTTGCTTCTCGATTCTTTGTGGGGACTTTGTTGCAAATGTCAACTTCTTTTATGTTCTACAAAAGATCAAGGATATATGGACGTCACCAAAAAAGTTTTTAATGGTGATTTGGCTTTGCTAGCTTACAACAAGGATTTTGACACCTCTATGATTTTGAAAAGACTTGTCAGTTTATGATTTGCTAGAGATGGTGTCTGTTCTAAAAGAAACATAAAGAATTTTAAGGAATTGTGGGATGAAACACATGGAAACATTACGTATGACATGTAACTTGGTGAAGCTGGTATAAATATTTCTTGGAGTTAGAGTTCAGTTTAGAACTGAGTCTAACTATATTGCTCACCATTCGATCGATCTTCAAATCTTTCTGGGTTATCCTCCTGAAGACCCTTAACAAATTTCATTTTCAAGAATATAAGCATAATGTTCTAACAGTAATTGCAGTAAAACAAGTTTTTGGTGCATTCTGAACATCAATCATTTTGCATGTTGTCTTGTTGTCTAATTCTTATGAAGTTTCTTACATAAAAACAAGATAACATGCCAAAAAGAATGATGTTCAGAATGCACCAAAAAGCTGTTTTGATGCAATTACTGCAGAGAACATTATGTTTATATTCTTTAGAATGAAATTTTTTAAGGGTCTTCAGGAGGATAATGTAGAAACATTTGAAGATCAGATGGTGAGCAGTATAGTTAGAATCAATTCTAAAATGAACTCTAACTCAAAGAAATATTTATACCAGCTTCACCAAGTTACAAGCCAAAGGTATTGCTGCCTAGTGTTTCGTCCTGCAATTCCGTATATATCCTTCTATATTTCTTTTTGAACAAACACCATCTCTAGCAAAGTATAACATGTCACGGTTTCAAGACCATCAAACAATAGACTCGTAGAGGTGTCAAAATCCTTGTAAGCCAGCAAAATCAAAGCACCATTAACAACATTTGTGGTGATGTTCATATATCCTTGTTCATCAGTACGTGTATAACAGAAAAGAAGTAGTCATCTGCAGCAAAGTGCACAAATGTAATAACAAGCAAATTTCAAATCAATAGTCCAACTAATTAAAAATATCAATGGAACAATATAGCATAATGCAAACCGAGTTGAAAATAATCTCATAGAAAAATCATTATATATAAGCAAATCTAAAAAAGTTAATCGTAACATTTCTAACAACCAAACAATGAATCAAAGTCTAGAAAGGATATTCTAGAGTCGCTGACCGAGAAAAAACAAAGTAATAGATAAACAAAAATATTATAGCAAAACCAATGACACTCTAAATAAATAAATAAATAGAAACTCATTTTCAGTTAATGATGAACAATGAATTTTATACACTTAATATATATTAAATATGAAAGAGATCATATTCTATAATGATGAATCTGCAATCCCACATAAAATCTAGCTTTAAAAAAAAATCTTATATATAATCAAATAAAAAATAAAATGCAAAAATTGAAACAACAAAGGAATCAATATTTGGAAAGGTATATATTTCCAAAGTGGCTCACCAAGAGAAAGAAACTAATCGATTAACATAAACATTATAGCAAAATCATATCGATCATTATAAAAACACTCATTTTGACAAACGAACAAAAAATCTCAGGCATTTCCTCAGAAAGTCTAGTTGTAATATATCTTACATATACTCATATCTGACAAATCTACAAGTAAAATTTTGAAACATATAGATATATAATTAATTAAAGTCTAGAAAAGTAATTTTAAATTGGCTCACCAAGAGAAACAAAGTAAAAAATCAACAAATATATTATAACAAAATCAAATTGATCTTTAAAACGCACTCTCATTTCGATGGACTGATGAACAATGAAATCTAAAAAATATAATTCCTCAAAAAAATATTTGACATATATACTAATATACATTGGACAGGAAAGAGATGAAACATAAGACCTAATTCTATGCAATTCACAAAATAAAAGAGAGAGAGAGAAAGAGAGAGAGAGAGAGAGAGAGAGAGAGAGAGAGAGAGAGAGAGAGAGAGAAAATAACTACCATGCCTTGGTGTTTATGTGAAAGTGTGGAACTGAAAATAAATAGATCTCAAAACCAAACCCCAAGAATGAAGCAACAAGCAAATTTATGACTACTAGTATGGCTAAAAAGATCAAGACAGCACATAGAGAATAATAAACCACAGGACGAAAAAAAAATCTCACTGAAAAATCTTATATATAATCAAAACTTTAAAAAAAAATGAAACTGAGAACAAATTACTATAACGGTATTCTTGAATGATGTCACGCCTTACGTGACATTTTCCTATATGGAAAATCTCAACAATTAAATTTGTTTCCATTGGAGAAATATTTTCATCCATAAATTTATGAAAACATTATAAACTATTTAAAATGATTTCTCTAATTTTAGAAAATTTTAAAATACCTTTTCTAATAATAAGAATTTGATAAACAATTAATTTTTATGCATAAACGATTAAAAAATATTTATAAATACACACTTATATTTTTTATATTTGTACTTTCTCACGTGTTTCGTATCCTAGGATTATTGTCCTCCTTTTCCGTTTCAATGAAACTTGGATTGGCATTCCTCAATTGCTTTGACCCTATCAATCACTTTTCTAGCAATTCTAGCCATTAAACATAAATATACTTCTAATCACTTGCATTACAAAAATATATAATAAGATTTGTATTTTGTAATATTTTATTAGTATCCTGTCAATAGTTAACAAAATAAAAATATATATGATAAAAATTAATAAGCAACACATTTCAAATGATATAATTGT